ATCCAAATGTCCTCTATGAAGAAGTCTTACTGCTTGTTTTGTCTGGCCAACAATTTGCATTCAATTTACAATATTCAATTAACAGTGATGCCAAACTGAAGAAAGCAGTAAATCCTTGAACCAGAAAATGTTTGGCAATGTCACCTTATTAAGGAACTTTGATGATCTTCTCAACCATGTATTAACTGTTTTGAGTTGATTTCTTAAAAAAAAACTGAAATCTATTTGACTGAGCATATAAACATATATATATATCTATATAGATATGTATATGTATATGTATATGTATATGTATGTGTGTGTGTGTGTGTCTTTTTAAATTGGGCTGACCTTCTACTATTCCATTACTGGTAAAAGCAGAATAACTTTTTAAGAAGAAAAAAGGTGGTGGTATCATCAAGAAATGTCAAGTTTTTTTCTTAAAATGTGTAACATAATACCACTGTACACATGTTGAAATAATTTGTCACTAAAAACACAGTGGGTAATAGGTAAATCCAGGGTGATTCTGCTAATAGTGGTAACGAAGACTCAGAGTCAGGTTTAAACACAGCACTGGGGCAGTGTCCTGATTGTAGTCTAGGGAAAATGCTCCCGTGTGAATAAAAGTCAACAATGGTTTGCAGAAGACCCACTTCAGAAAAAGAAAACAGAAACACAAAAATACCAAACAAACAAACAAACAAAACGCAGACTACCACACAGATCAGAAAGTCTAATGTGGATCTACGACTATTCACCTTCATATTATTTGACTTTGGTCCTTTTCATTGTATGTGTTAATGTGTTAAAAACGCATTTCCTGTTTATGTAATATGTAAAATGTTTAACATCTCCAGTTGTGTGCTTTGCTGATATCCATTAAAACACAAGTGTAATACAATAGGTTTTGGGTGAGACCATGAATGGTTAAACAATTTGCCAGTTATCAAAACTGATGACAGTTTACCAATGAATGAATTAATTGGTTCAGCTCCAGCTGTGTCAAGAAAAACAATAAAGCAAATTATATTTCCATGTACTGTAAGTTCTGCGAGGACTGACAGTTGCATGTCTGTTGTATACCTGTGTGAGTAAGTGTGAGTCGGGTCCATGTCTCACTGTATCCTAACCTTATCTTAATTTAACAACCCAATATATAACTTTGATAATGACCCTGTTGTGAAAGATTATATTTTTCAGTGTAATTACTAAATGTTTTATATCAACTACCTCAAATTAAAACTCCAATTGTTTAGCATATATTGTAACACACTCTTTAAATCTGACCCAGTGCTCATAGACAGCAACATGATTCTGGAGCTTGGACTCACCCTCGGGTCGCGCTGGTGTCGCTAGATGGCGCTCGAGTACCGACTATCCCCCTCTATGCGTCTCCACAGCTCAGCCAGCGCCACAGCAGAGCAGGGTTTTTCTTCCCTGGGAGTCTAATGGGAAATTTCACGTCACCTAAATAAAAAGGAAGGTGTAATTAACGCGACGCGCTATTAATTGCATCTGCTAGAGCGCGAATGAAGGTCACGAGGGGGCACTTTTTTGATTACTGGGCTCCACAAAAGTCAGCTTCTGAGATCAGAGAGTGGGCTTTATTTCCGGGTGTCATTTCATGCCAGGCGTCCAAATGGCAGGTTAAACGGCCGTGATGATGCAGAGAAGGACATCTTTTATTTCCCTGTGTCAGCTACAAAGCAGCTCGTGGAAATGATACAGTGCGCGGGGGGATAATATCCATTGTGCGCATTATACCACATAGAGGTAAAGCAAGCATATCTAAGTCCAGCAAGGTCACTAAGTCATTCCTAAGAAATATCACAGTGCATTTTCACAAGGGGAATGTTTTGTGGCATTTTTCTGTCCAGAATGAAAAGCGACAACCATCTGTAAGCAGAGACATGGTTGGACAGGGTCCCAGTAGGAATTGATTCCTCGCACTAAGTGTGTTATATTTATTTGATCAATTCTGTGGATAAATGACATCAAAAGGGTCCCTACTTTTTTTGTTTGTGATCACGTTCATTGAGCATAAATTAGCGATCAGCTATTGATTCCCAATCGATTCTCCTCTGGGGTGTAAACCTCCCTTCCATCTTGTCCACGGGCTCACCTTTTCACACTGTGCACTGCTGCAGACAGCAGAACAGGGGCTGGCAGCTTTGGCAAGGAAAACGGGGAAGAATCCCATTATTTATATTATGACAACCAAGAGGGCAGCCTGTTTTCTCATTTTTGTAGATGTGGCTAGGAAATACAATCAATTCTGTATTTCCCCGCCAATTTTAAAATAAAAGGAAGTCGAATAGATTTTACAGAGATTCTCATAAAAGTATCACACCACAGATTCCCATGGCAATATTAAAGAGGAAGTACGTAGCACAGAAAATGGGAAAATACCATCAGGGTCACCACAGTGAATATCACAGTCACTATAGGTCCCTCCAGAAATATTACAGTGGAGTTTTCTGTTAAGTCTTTTTTTGTCTATTGAACCAGAACTTTCTATTATGGGAATGTTTTAGGGACCAAATGAATTCTGATAAATTTTTATTGAAAAACCAGCATTTATTTAAATGTCACAACCTATTATGTTTTTAAAGTTTGAGTTGTCTGATTAACCCTTACTTTTTAGGGCTCTCGTTTGTCCCAAATGAGGCGAGATTTACAGTCAAGAAATATTCAGAACAAGGCAAGGTTTTTGTTTTCTGAGGTTGATAAAAAGTTTTCTTTTCTCATCTTATTAAATCAAGAATAGGCCTACAGAAAACGGGGTGCAAACAAAACAAACCCCATGAGGCTAACCATGTGGATTATAAGGTGGCTTCCAACACATTTTAAAGCGCTAATAATCTTTGAGATGAGTTTGGATTTGTTTTTCTTTTTTGTTCACAATACTGTGCGAGGTGACGGAGCAAGTGAAACCATAAGCACCAAATAAAATAAGAGAGATAAAAATATTACCTTGCTGAACCCCTTTCAACCCTCCTACGGACCACTGTCGGTCCTCGGACCCCACTTTGGGAACCTCTAATTTAACCCTGGATGGAAACTGTAGTTTCCCCAGCCAAAGCCAGCCCCTTTAAGAGTAGCCTTGGGCAAAACCAACACATCATCAGCTCACAATCTTACATTCATCCACTCTGATTTTCTCTCAGCCATTAATTCCACCCAAACCAAAGGGCTCAAAATAAGGAGCATATTTTCAAAACCACAGCTGTCAGGCACACACTGCTGCAGTGTCCTGCTTTGCTGGATTAAAAGGACAATAAATACATTTAGCCTCGACGTTGGAAAAAGCTGTTTAATATCAACCCCATTATTTAAAAATGTGCAAGTCCGTTGTTCACGAGTCAAGTGATGAAACACCTCCAGGCGTTTATCACCTCTGCTTTATATCTACCCCAAGTTCGTCCAGTGAATATGATAGCCTATAACCCCCTGCAGAAATAAAAACGACTGGCTTAACAAGCAGTTAAACAGAACAAGAAAACCGCGTTAGACTGCTACAGGTCTACATCCCATATCTTGAATTTCCAGTGAATTATAACTTAGAACGGTTCATTAAAGCTACTGAGGAGAGATTTCAATGTCATGGTCGTTTCTGCTTGTTGTTTTCTGTAGAAGCAACATCAGGAAGGAAAAATAAAAAAAAACAAAGTCCCTGGATATCTGTCTTTGCATAAAACAAAAGGCAGGCTACTGTACGGAGAACAGATGTATATACATTTAGCTGTGACGGTCCGGGCATGTGGCAATCCCGCTGAAAAATAAAAATATGTACTCTCTTCTTCCCTACAAAACAAAAGCCTTCTCGGTGTCATTTCTTCCCCTATATATCTCGCACATTGTCTCATCTATAAAAGCCTTCGTAGAATAAATTACAATCTCATTAACAAAACTAAAAAAATAAAATAAAATGTCTACGAGCAGTTTCCCCCATAATAAAGCAACATAGACGAAGATGAACAAAATGGCTGACATGAAATCCATGGCAACGACCTCACAAACTAATAAAAACAACACCGTATTAATAATAATAATAATAATAATAATAATAATAATAATAATAATAATAATAATCATCATCATCATTTGGATCACATGCTGCGATTTTTGGAATGTCACCAAAATTAATTGGAAAAAATGTCAAGGCCTTCTATCATAGTTTCAAGCACATTAGTCATGTTGTTAATCTCCGTTTTCATCCTCTATAAGTCTGATTCATTTGTGGACAGTCGATGAGTTCAGTCCTTAAAGCACTAGGCCTATATTTTGATTGGAAACACAATTCAATGTAATTTCAGTGCGGACATCAAATGGCAAAACAGAACTCCTTAGACAGTTTAAACAATTTAAACTGCTTTCACATCACATGAATTTAAAGATCACTTTTTGACTCAAAATAAAATACGCTACAAAAAAAAATGTTGAAACCGTAAACGAGTAAAATTTCTGCAACTAAATGGACGTTAAATAGCACATAAACACAAGGCAGTAGGTAGGCTCTGAATCAAAAGTGGATTTTAAAAACTCAACCTGCTTGTTCGTGAAAACATCAATTCAAAAAGTGCCCCAGTGAAGAAAGAAAAAGGGAAGCCATGACTTTTAAAGTTATTACAATATTTACAAAAGTGGATCCAAATACTCTGGGAGAGTTGGTGACCTATATCTTTGTAGATATCTATATATCTCGAGCCCATCCTGTTGTGGAAAAGTGCCTGATAACCCTATCAATCGCCAGGGAGCCCTTCTGGGAGCTGAGGGGGAGGAGAAAATTATGAAGCGTTAGTTTTGTGATAATAATAATAATAATGGTCTTTTTGTCTCTGCTGCTGTTTGACTCGTTACAGAGGTCCTTCACTTTTTGTTCACTACAACTGCACACAGACCAGTTATTGAGTTTAGGCGCTGCACTCCTGTAATAACAATAATAGTAATAATAATAATAATAATAGTAATAATAGTAATAATAATAAATAATAATAATAATACTAATAATAAATACGAGCTGAATGGCCAGCACTTTCCCAGCAGTAGTGTTTATAATGCAAAGCGGCTCTGTGCTGCCTGACTGACAGATGGGACTCAGGCGATGCTCACCCTCAGCTGGACTCCACTGGACTGGGGCTGCAGCCTTTACTGGCCTCCACTTTACTCCATTAACGCAGCTCCTTTGACCCTTCTGCACCACCCTCCCATCACTGCTGGATGCACAGTTTAGAGCTACAAAACTAAACGCCTCTGCCTTTGCTTTCCCCTTTACAGCAGAGGGAAAATGTGTTAGATTTGATATAAAAGTGGCGAATGGAAACCATTCAGTTATGTTTTTCATCTAAAACTAAGTACCCTCCTTTCCCCTACCTCTTTTTTTTTCGTCAAGTATGATTTCAATACACAATAGGGGCTACACCTTGAAACTGCGTCGACTGGAGTCACAGTGCTGGGCATGTATCCTCTAAGAACACAACACGGGCTTGTTCCTTTAGCTCTGGGAGAGGAAAGCAATGTCCTGTCCTCCCCTCACTCATTTTCCATTTTTCAGATATTCACTGCAGATATTGTGTTAAGTACTCACTCCAATCTATTATACATAAAACACCCACTATATTGTTTTATAGTCCAGTGGTTTATATATAATCTTGGGGATAAATAAAAAGGATAAACAAGTCCTGGAGTAGCGGTCCAGAAGAGTTCACTGGACAGGGGTCTGGACCCCGTGGTGCGGCGGCGTGTCCCCGTACACATCCTCGCTCCCTGGCAGAGCTCCTCCGGGAGGGGTCATGCGTTTCTCCTTCTGTCTCCTGTTACAAAACCAAACCCGCACCACTTCTTTCTCCAGGTGCAGACTGTCCGCCAGGGTGATTATTTCCGACGCTGCCGGTTTAGGGCACTTCAAAAAATGGCTCTCCAAAGCTCCCTTTACGCTTACCTCGATTGAAGTCCGTTTTTTCCTTTTCCTCCCTTGCGCAGCGATTTTGTCCAGACTGGTCGGGCTGCCCGAGGTGGAGTCCGCCTCCTCCAGCCACTTGTTCAACAGAGGCTTCAGCTTGCACATGTTTTTGAAGCTGAGCTGCAGGGCCTCAAACCTGCATATGGTGGTTTGGGAAAACACATTTCCGTACAGGGTCCCCAGGGCGAGTCCGACGTCCGCCTGCGTGAAGCCCAGCTTGATCCTACGCTGTTTGAACTGCTTGGCGAACTGCTCCAGGTCGTCCGAGGTCGGCGTATCCTCGTCCGAGTGGTCGTGGTGGCTCTGCGGCCGATGCTGGTGCTGATGCTGGGACGGAGGGTGGCCGTGGTCGCTGAGGTGCGGGCTGTGGTGGTCGTCATGACTGTCTCTTAGGTTGTGGTGGTGCATCCCCTGCCCGCTGCCCGGGATCAGCCCATTCACGCTGAAGCCCGGCTGGGAGTAAATAAGGCTTTGGCCGTTCGTAGTCGCCATGCTCGGTATGTGCGCCGCAGTAGTGGTTCTCCACGCCCGGCCGTCGTGGTGGTTCCCGTGCGTCTGGTGCCCCAGGTGGGGCGGCCGCGACTGGTGCTGTAGGTTGCTGCTGGAGTTGTGCATCTCATCCCGGGCGCCCTGCACCGCGGGTTTGATGTCCTGCTCTGAGCCGAGAGGGCTGGAGGACCACGGGGCTCCTTCTCCGTGGGACAGAGCCGTGATCCACTGGTGTGCGTGGCTGAGCGTGTGGCTGTTGCTCTGCAGCGGGTACTCGCTCTGTAACAGGCTCTGCGCTTCCCGGTACGCCGTGGCTTGCTGCATGCTGCCGGGCTCCGAGTGCACGATGGATGCGCTGGAGGTGAGGATGTTGTAGTGGTTAGACGCTGCGGTCGCCATGACTCTCGGAGCCGGACTGATCGCTCTTATTAAAGAAACCTTGAATTTGACAGATCCTCTCCTGCCCACAGGCGGCTCCCAGGCGCTCTGCCAAGTGGACGCCGAGGCGCACCTGGACTCCGCCCCGCCCCCGTCGCTCATTGGATGTCAGAAGATGATGGACGTGGTTCCCAAGGGCAACGACATGGTGATTGGCTGCAGGGAAATCTCAACAAACACTACTCTCTTTGTTGGAGAGGTGCGAGTTGAAGGTTCCCGTGGAAGCGGAGAGCCGGAGTACAGCATGGAAAGACGGAGCACCAGGATCAGCTGTGCACCTGTAAGATACAGTTGATTTACTTTAATAGTCATGTTCTGTCAAGACTCAGGGTGCAGATAGGGTAGATCCTCAAAACCACGACTTCCTTTATGTGAAGATTAATGCAAAAGATATTTTGTTAAGGACACCTTTGTTTATTTAACTAGACTTTACATTTTATTAACTGTTGAGTGTAATTACGCGCAGCTTCATAATATTAAATGTTGTTATTGGAAACATGAATGTCACATCCTAATTGGATTAGACAATGTCAACTTATTTACTGCAACAAAGAGAGCTCGACTTTAGATTACATAAAACCATATTCACGTAATATGTTTATGCATAATATACCGAACCTGTGTGAGACAAAACCAGTTTACTGTTGCTGCAACATTTCTGCTAAGACGTTCACATTAATCCCTCTGTGTTATTTGTGCAATGCAGTGTGTGTATGAGAAAAACTACTAATGTAGCATTTTTTGAAGTATTGACAAAAAAGGCAATAGTTACCTTTAAGTTAACATAAATTAAAGACTGACATTTTAAGTTAATGTTGTTGTGAAACCACCTAACTGAATAGCCTAATTTGAAATCCAGTTTATTCAAATAATTTTTTTCTAATGCTTTTTTACTGCTTTCAAGATCCTTTATAAGATTTGTAAAAGAAAGCAATTTAACTAATACGTTTTCTAAATCCAGATATACGGTAAATGAAAACGATTAGAGCTGTTTCCATCAGCTGAGTTTTATTAAAAACAAACATTTTACCTGTAAAGCTTAATCAGTTGAATGAATCTGTGATCGCTGCTGCACTTCATTTGTTGACATGCAGTCTTCTCCTGATCCGCCTTTACACCATACAGGTTCAAATTGTATAGTTTGTTTAAAGTGAGATCATTTGAAAACCTACACTGACTGCAGGCATCATTGTAAAGTCTATCATTTTCTTTCTTTTGGATTTAGATCTGGCTGTTGATGTCAGATTTATCTGCACTTTCTCAAACTCCAGTAATTGCTTGTAAAATTGCAAGCCAGTAATATTTTTTCCAATCAAGTGTCTCTAAATGTAGACCTGAAAACTTTTAACAGCCCATAAAGTAAACAAATAAGTAAACTTTTGTGTCCAACTAGACTGTAAAGTACATTTTACAAGCCTGGCTCAGGAGGAGTGGCTACAGAAACTCAGGTTCTATAAATAACATGACTTCAAAGATGTATTGTCTATTTAAACCTGAAATAAGCTATTTAGTTCCCAAAATGTTTCTTTAATAAATGTAGTTTGGAGGATTTGTGGGCTCCTAAATGGTTGTTTAAAAGATGTAGGCGTAAGAGTGCAGCAGCACTGAGAGCTGCCCAGGATTCTTTGCATCAGCAAAGGAGATTTAGAAATGATTTTTCTGGTCTTATATACATCTGTTGTTGACTTAGAATGTGTGGTTACCCATCATCATCCTCGATAAGGACAGACACAAGTGAAGAGGAGGATTAAGTCCAGATCCAGGCCTCCAGTCCAGGGCAGGGAGGGCAGGTTTCCATCCCGTCCCAGCTGCCATCCCCCTGGTGTCAGCTTCATGGTGCAGGACTTTGTCCAGAGAGGGGACATTCCTGGCCGACCGCTGCTGGTTGCCATAGGGAGAAGTAAATGAAACAACAGCAGTTGCGTTGCTACCCCCCCTTTCCCCCCAGCTACAGGGACAAAGCCTTTGCAGGGATAAAGGAGGGAGGAGTAAAGGAGCACAGGGCCTTGAGAGGGAGAAAGGGCTTGGAAACCTCAAAAAGATTGACTGTCCTTAAGGCTGCTCCTCACACTCCTGTGAGATAAAGGAAATGCTGTGAACAATTACAAACAAAACCTCTGAATGTTGCATGAAGTATGTTTCAACTTTCTAACTTCTGGGAAAAAAACAACTTAAGTCTTATTACTAGAAGACATTAATAATTCCTACTATATATGTGAAATTAAACTGCATTTTTGGTTAGTCTATAACAATTCAGTCCACCAGAAACAAAGTAATACATGCTGCCTCCAAATTAAACCTATAAATCAATGTGGACACTTCTTCAGTATCCACAATTTATTACTTCTAAACTATGCAAATGACTAGAACTGTAATTAAATGTTTTATTTAATAACTTGGGCCCAGCAGTAAAATTAAAAGGCAATAAAAAGCTATTATAAATGAAATATTTTCACCAAATATTCAAACTGTGAAGTGAAAGCAGAAAAGTCTACATACTGAATGCTGCAAACTCGCAAATCATTCTTAGAAATATAAATTTATTCAGCAAGTTCACACCAGGACACATGTACAGGCTGAGGTCTGTGAACAATACAGGGGCGTGTAACAAAGGCCAAATCCTCATTCTAAAATGCTTTATATGGACTGGACTGGATTTTAATCTCATACACCGATCTAAGTTGCAGCTTGCTGCTTTAGTTACCAAATAACTCAACCACTGATGGTAAAGATAAATAAAATGTAATTATCTTAAATTAAATGTATGACCATCAAATATTGAATACACTGTTTGTTGCACTCATCCTTTAAAGGCACAGTGTTTATCCCAAACATATAGAAAATTTGTACTTAACAGATATGTCTTTTATTGAAAGGACAAACTGTACACAACAGTAATTAATTAAAAGTCAGAAATATTTCTGATGTTGCTGGTCTGTTTACATTAAAACTATCTGTGGACAGATGATATAAACCAGGCCTATGAGAATCGGCTGAGGACCACACAGAATACTCATATTCCATGTTTGACTCTAGCTCTTCAATTAAGTATTACTGATTGGGCCTTTAATGGATCTCATTTCATAGGCTAATAATCCTTTATGGATGTGAATCCAGCTGCACTTACAGCACATGAAGCTGCCAGGATTTAAGTCATACAAGGAAAAGTTCCAGGCACGGTTCAGTAATTCATTCTGGTAATACTGAACATTATTGTGGCGTAACATTGAAATCGGCCAAATCAAAAGAACATTGTGGTAATTAGGCTGTAATTCAAGGAATTACCACATTGCCACACAGGCTTAAATAGTCGTGATGGGAGAAGCGCAAAGCACATTATTTTAATGGTGTAATATGCAAACTATGGCTTGTTTCAATTACATGGCTTAACAATGCATAAATGATGCGAGCCTTGTTATTTGGACTGCAGGGTCCTCAGTTATTCAATCACTCAGAGGGGCCAATGTTAGGGGCCATGCTGCCTTCTCTTGTACCGTAGTCAACCCAGTGCTGAGCACTGAGGGCTGCTGCCAAACTACATTTAAGGGAATAAAAATGAACAGCAGAGAATGTAAGCATTAAATTAACAGTAGGATAATTATATGACCCGTGTGCTGTAAAGATTCAATTTCTCACACTCTAATTAGGCGACTGTCTCCCCATACATCAGCTCACATCCCTCTGCCAATTTCTCACCAGAAAGCATCCTGTGAGCGGAAATAATTAGATTTTATTAAGACACGGCTTGTGTGATAAAGAAAATCAAAGGAGGGGCTGGTTAGATATGATGTGTTTTCAAAATCAATGACTGGTCCATGCACACTGTCCACTGAGGCCCTTTTAGAGACAAGGACATTTGAGTCCAAACTAGAAGCTAGGCTCGAATCTGTCTCTATGTCTGACTGTATTAACCCATTTAATGAACCATACACTATTCAGTGTAAGGGGAAGATTTGTGGTCTCAGCCCTTATGACAGAAATATAATCCATCTTTACTCACGTCTAGGCTTGTGCAAGCTTAGTTTAACACATGGATGCAAGAGTAGACTGTGACATCTCAGCCAGGTTTGAAGCCAGTCATGGTGCAGTATCCAACTTACATAAACACCACAAACATGACTTTGTAACGTCCAGTGCATGTACAGTACACTGAGAATGACCTTTTATTCTGCCCACTAGTTAAACTTTGTACATTCATAGAGTTAGAGAGAGGAGTTAACCTATTTTAAGAATGTTTAACAGCATAACTGAACCTTTTGATTATTCCAGGCAGGGTATATGTCTTAAAACATGTTATGTCCAAAGCCCAAAGATTTTACTATCATAGAAATGGAAGAAAACCAGCAGGTTCTAGTTTCTCAAGAGAATGATTGAATTATATATTTTGTAACATAAATATGACATAAACAATTAACCATTACTTAAATTGTTGAAGATAAATTTTGTAGGTAAATGCCCCTGTGAATACTGTTATGACGTCTGGACTTTTACTGTAGGTGATAAAATCCAGTGAAGTACAAATGGATGTTTAACAACTTGGTATTTAGTGCCCCAAAGACACAAACAACATTTCTGGTTTATTACAGTCTCTTCTTTAGGGAACAATAAGGACTAAATGGAGACTGTGTAGCTTTGCTTCTACCACCTTTGTGGTTGAAGCAACCGCAACAGACAAAAGTCTGAAGAATTCAGCCATAGTGTCCTTTAAAATATGTCAAAGTAACTTCAAATTAAAAGACAGCCCAGGTTATAACAATTTAACTTGCACTGTTACACTGTAAACTGTGGAATACAGTAAGAGGCAAAACATTCAGCACTTCTTAACAAAGCACACATTACAAATTAATTACAGATGTCACGTTGTCAAAGTTTTATTTCTGATGAGCTGTCCGCATATGAACAATTTGTGCTAAGGCCTGTTTCAAGTCTTACATAACAAGAGCTGACCCACACCTTTCATGCTTACTGTAATTGTTGTGTGCATCAAAGGGAGTGTGACTGACAGGCTGTATGGGAGCATTAATACAGTGGGTGAGTGACGACATACTGAGGGGAGGGAGCGAGGAACAAGAGAGGGAGAGGAGAGAGAGCAAGATACTGGGTGGGAAGGAGGAGAATGAAAGAAAAGTAAGAGAGAGGACAAAAAGTGGGGAGAGCGTTAATGAGAGGGAGAGTATTAATTGTATGCATTGTGCCGGGGCTCTTTTGCCGAGTGTGGTTGTCGAGCTGCGGGCCCTAACCCCTCCAGCAGCCCGTGATCTGAGCCAGCTCTCAGACTGCTGTATTCCAATGCAATTAGGCCACTCAAAGGCCTGCTTAAAGCTGCACCCCCACCACACACACACACACACACACACACTCATCAGATAGCACCGGCCCCTGTGGGTCTCCTCCATTGTAACAAGGAGGTGTATTCTGTCCCTCTTTGAGGCAGTGGATGACGAGACCACCCCAGGAAGTACAAAAAAAGGGAGGATTACTTCTCTTTTTGTCCCTTTCCTTCTGTCTTTCTCTCTTTCATTCTCTTTATCATTCCCTTTTTCTGGTTTAGGAGTTCACCTCCAAAGTGTGTGGCACAGAGCACAGCTTTAGTTTGTTCCTCCAAAGAGATACAGCTTGAAATTTGTTGCAGGGTTAAAAAAAAAGAACAATGAGGCATTTCTGTGATGGATGTCACTGTTGGACTGCTTTAGGAATACTACTTTCCTTTTCCTGTTTCATTATTCATATAGTCATATATTTCAACAAGTGGCACGAGGCATGGAGCTCACGGGCTTGTCGCCGTTGGCACCAGTGCTGCAGCCTTAGTCAGTCACTCCCATCTGTACGCTGTATTAAGAGAAAGCTCTTCATGATAGCGGAGTCCTCTTGGCTGGCTTTCAACATGTCTTCATTCCCCAGAACGCATTTAAAACAGATTACCAATCTAATGCCCCCCCACCCCCCAATAAGAGAAGAGAAAGTGAAAAAAACTGGCACATTAACACCTGAAATACTGCTCAGTGGCATCAACAGATTAACAACGTAATCCACACAATGAGGACTTTGATTCGTGTGGTTTGGCAGGCACTAACGCCAGGCATAATACACATTGTTATACGAGACCGTCCCAGCAGGAGAAAACCTGGCAGAAGTGCCTCCCTTTTTTTGTCTTTCCATCAGATGAGCTTTTGAAGAATTTTAACTCGTGCATCTGGTGCATCTGCCCATTCCCCCATCAGAGAACCAACCCGCTGGCTGCTCTTGTGGCACATGTGAGAGGAGAAGCGGAGGAATCATAGGCTTTCTGAAGACTGTTAAAACAGCAGGGCCCAGGAGCTCTCCCTTGTCCTTTCGCCCATTTTTCTGCATAAGGACGTGTGTATAGGATAAGTGTGTGTGGTAGATCTAACGGTCCCATCGCTCATGTGCGGCTCGATTAGTCCCACGTGCCTCGTTCATCAGACATGGAGGCAGAGCAGATGGCAGGAGACGCACCATGTTACCATGCTGCGGCACTACGTAATGCTGCTCTAATTGAAACATCAGTACTGCCCTGTCAATACACTACTGCTACTTTACAAAACACAACTACCTACAGATCTGCACTTGACTGGGGAAAGGCTGTTATTCTGACATATTTGTTTCTTATTGAAATAACTGCTGCCAAAATAGCAACAAAGTAACTTTCCCCCAAAACTTTCTGCACTTGATTTCTGGTCTTTTTAATAACCTAATTTCAATGAAACACCTCACTTGGTTTCTGTTTGTATATAGTGTTGTGGTGGGAAAGGAAGCGTGCAGGAAAAAGGGAGAGAATTTCCTCACAAGCATTTCCGCTGTGGCACGTTTTTAATGAATTGATAAAAAGTTGAGGGAGCTCACATGGTTGTGATCAGTAATTCAACGTTATCAGAAATTCAGTGGAGAACAGAGAGAAATTAGGCAGCTAGAAATTAATTTGTTATTTGTCCAAGTCAATGAGGAGTGACACAGCCCATTTAATGAATGGGTAATCCATTTCTTATTGCACTGAGCTGAATTCACTCTTCATTGAAGTGGAAAAAGACAAACATATCTTTCACTAACCTTTGCATCTTCCAGAATCAAAGGAGGAGCACAGATGATTGCTAAGACCTGTTCTCAGAACTATTTGTATTTGGAGAAACATATGTTTGTGTGGCTGGGAGAGCGATTAATTTTTAAAGCCAAGTTAAGAATCCACAGTGAAAAATCTTTGCTGACACTGACTCCACACAGTTACAATACAGTACATGGAATCGATTCATGATCAGTCTGCTTGCTGCACTGTGGAAATGAACAATCTTTATTTAACCATGGTTCATATTTGTGTCTTCAGTTCCCTGCCCCTGCCTTTCTGCTCACAGCTCTTCCACCTCCTGGATCTGAAGAGTGTGACTGTTACATCTCCTCCATGATGACAGCCTGGAGAATCTGCAGTGGTAAGGACCTGATCTGTCTGTGCACATCATCATCAACAGTCTTTGTCCTTCACAGCAGCATGTCTTGATCTCATGAGTGGCATCTGGTCAACAAATGTCCTATGTAACACTTGGGTATGATATGGGTAATGAGTTTATGACCTGAGGAAACTTAATCTACACACAGTAGTAGAAGAAGCAACCAGCACAAAATAATGCTTTTGTCTATACAATATCAGAAAATAAAGAATGAATATTTTCTTAATGCCATATGTCCAGTAATAAAAGCAAGCATTTTGGTGGCCAAAGGGGATACATGCATTCTCAGCATGGAAAACACATTTTTTCTGATTCACAGAATCATAATTTCCCCTTCACCCTTACAAACGACAGCTCTTTAATTGTGCATAAATAAATAAATGACAGTCACAGAATTCCTAAAAACAGAATGAAGCAGTAAAGAAGCAGTAACTAAGTACATTTCCATTTGTGTTTTTTGGAAATGTGGTTAAAATTTCCAATAATTTAGATGGAAGTCTGACCGTAGTATCTGGATTTGCAGTACAGCTTACCTGGAAAGTGACCCTGAATGTCAGGGTCTTGTTGCGGGCCTGGTTATCCAACACTACGTTTGCAGGAATCTTCCACATCTGGGTGATGGAACACATATTTGGTTCTAAAGACAAACAAAAGTTTGAGAACCAAAATGCTCATCCTGTTTATGAGGATAAAACCCAGGATGATAAAAGATAATACGTAACTGAATTTAGGACTGAAACAATCAGTTATTTTCATTATGATGTGATTATTTTCTTGATTTATTGATTGATCAGATAGTGTGTAAAATGTCAGAAAAATTATTCATTCAAGTTTATCAGAGTCCAGTGTCTTCAGATGTCATGTCTTCTTTGACCAACAGTAAACACTCCCCATAATAGTCAGTATATCAAAGACATGCAGGAAATCTGCAGATTTCTACTTGAAAAATGACTTAATTAGTACAGTTTTTGAAAAAAAGGACTCACCGGGTCTTTGGATTTACACAAATTATGCTAGTATATGCAACGCAATCCATTCATATTTCCTCTGTTAACATAATTCAAACAAGTTAACCCCTAAAGAAAATTATGTTGGTTTTACACATTATCATTGTGAGGGACCGGTGTACACATTACAATCAAGTAAATCCAACAAATCCTTTTTTTCAGTGTTCTCTACCAGTTAATCAACTAATCAGTTTTATTTAAAGGGGTATTCAAGTGATTTAGTACTACACCTGCACTAGACCAATAAATATAAAAGTATTCAAAATTGAATTTAAATGAACTGATGTTCCCAAGTCTGATGCAAGCTCCAGAAATACTAGGTACTACCTCTCCCATAATGCAACCAATCACATCTTTTGTTCCACCATCCATGTTTGGCAGAAGATATTATAATCAAAAATCCATGAATTGACCCTTTAATCTCATTTTTATAAGTCATGATTTTATTTATAGTTGTTATGGTACATTTTTGCTCTTGTTAAGACTTCGTTTGTTGCTCTTCACACCAGCACCACTTGCAGCAGGGGATGTGGCTAGTTTAAAATCATTTTCCCCTCCTTATGGATGTCCTACCAGAAAAAAAAGAGAAAGTTCTTATAAAGAATAAACAGAACATGAGCTGTTCAGAGATATATCTGTTTCAACTCTGTTTTTTCAAGGATAAAGTCAAGGACTAACAGCTTAATTTAAAATCAATCAAAAGCCAGCTATGTCCATGGGAGCAACGTTCAGAATCCGGTTATGATTTGATCTTGGCTCAAGTTTTCAGTTAGTGTTGACGTGTCAGAGTTGTGAGGAATCCCGAGCCGGTAGCTTACAGCAGGGGTTTCAGTGATACAGTATTTACAAGGCATGAGGAAGTGGGAGCGCTGCAACAGACGGCACTGAACACGGCGCTTTCAATTATTTCTCACAGCATTCATGAAAATAGAAGCACAGCGGGGAGTACAGTATGAACGACAAAACTATAAAAAGACATGGAGCGAAAAGAGAACTCCCAGGCTAAAATAAATGGTCTTGTATGCTGTTGCTGGTGAAGAGCTGAAAATAGTGTCTCCAAAACAGGAGAAATGGAAATCATGTGATGGAGTGCAAACAGAGTGAGCAGTAGTGGAACAAAAACCTAAGCATAAAGAAGTGGAGTAGGGTTGAAGTTTAGGTTTGACAGCATCATATAAATCTTGAGGCTGAATTGGTCTGGTAAACTCGATTATGGGCCTACAGGAGTAGACCATACTAACGCTGGCTCAGGTCTGTCAAATGACTAATGTACAGACAGTCTGCCTTTCTCCACTTGTGTGACTTAGGAACTAGAATATCCTAGTCAGAATATGACTAAAGTTTAAATGAATGATCAAAAATAAAATAAAATAAATATGGTTAAATGTCTACAGTCATGCTAGGAGCTCTATGAGGCTAAATGCTAACTTGAATATGCTAACATGCTCACAATGTCAGTGCTACCCTGCTGATCATTAGTAGCTAATATTTACCATGGTCAACATCTTAGTTTAGCATGCCTCAAATTATGGCCAAGATTGATGAATGTCATTAGTGTGTTTTTTTATTTGTTTTGTTTTTTTGGGGGTATTTGGGCATAAAACAAAGGATAAATGTTGACCTGATGGAGCCACTAGATGAAAAGACAGGATATCACTAAAGCTGTTATGATCATCCTGAGTAGCATATAACTACCAATAAAACATCAGATGACAATCACTGCCTCAGTTACATTCCCATCCAATTTTGCATACATTTCCAAAAGTAAAATTGGGTTTAGATGTCTATGTGCACAAATTGAAATCTTATTAAATCTGTTAAAGTGGTGAATGTACCCATCAGCAGAGCCACACTGCTAGCTTGGCTAAATATAAACTCAAACTGTCAAATTCATATTCAGCTCACCTGTGTGATGACATCAAGGCTTGCCAATGTACTGACCATATTTTTGGATAATTTTTTTATATTGTAGTGGTATATTATAGCACAGTGTAGTTTATAGTTATAATATATCATGATGAGTCAAGTAGTTGTCCCATAACATCACCTATAATGAAGTATATATTTTTGTCATTAATTCCCTGACTGTCACAAGCCTTTAAACCCTTTTCCACTATGGGAATTTACCAACTGTACTACTGTACTTATTTTCCCAGGTTCTGCTTTTGTATCCCTTCTCAGCATCTTTCAAGAGGTGGTAGTAAATCAGATTCCAGGTAGAAGTAGGGGAGCTCACAGGGCTGTTGCCAGTGACTGGTCATGCAGCTGTCGCTCGTGGTTTGTCAGACAGATGTGTCATCACATCTCAGCTACAATAGACCCAACAACAGCATCAGTTTCATTGCTGTGTACATCTGGAAGGGCTTTCATATAATAAAGAACAACGAAGACTGCAAACTGGACAAATGACAACTTATGTCCAGCTGTTGCATTTTAAAAACATATGTGTGGATTGTATTGCCTTTTAGTTAAGTACATTCAGTATTTACCCGTGTGAAAAATACAGTAGAAAAGCAAGGCAGACTTCTTTTGCCATGCAAGTTGTAAACAGCAGGTTGCCAAAGTGGAAAAGCAGCTTTTGATCATTTTTGGCATCTATCTTCATATGAAATCATTCGTCCTTCATTTCTGTCATTCTCTTACCACTAATGACAGACATTTCATTTTTGTGAATGAAATTTGCCCAAACACAAAGTGGAGTTTGAGGTTGTTGATTGTAATGATCAAATCTCACCTCGGATCTCCTCATGAACAGGTGACAGTCATCAGAAATGAGCAATTTACAGTATGTTGGCCAACATTTCTATTAGTTTTTATGACATAACAAACCTGTTTGATGGCTTGTGTTTTTAGTATTATGACAGTTTGCCCAATTCTCAGCAATCAACACAGCGCAATGGTAGAATTAGCCAAGTGACCAAAAATACAAACAGTATATCACAGGTGGTAATAGACTTACTGCTGGGGGGTATACTGGTTCACCTGGTGTACCAGCTTTAATTTCACATAAGGTGTGAGGTTTTCATATACTGCCATACCATAGCAGTAACGCTCCAGGAAGGTGCAGATTATACAGTATATTATTGTTCACCACTAGAAGTGCTTTTGATCGTTAAGCCGAATGTATTGAAAGGAGACCCCATTAACTGTGCTTACTCAAATCAATTCAAAATGTATTTATATAGCACTTTACAATAACATCAGGTTAACCAAAGTGCTTCACAAAAGAAACATTGTTTATTAAAAACATTAAAAAATAAAGTAAACAAACTAAAATAAGAGCCAACAACAATAAATATCAGACTCCATTAACAATTAAATGCCTTAGTATACAAAAAGGTGTTAAGGAGAGATTTAAACACAGCCAACTCTGTAATAAATCTAATATTACAAGGCAAATAATTCCAAAGTTTTAGGAAAGCCCTGTTGCCCCATCGTTTGTGACGGGATCTTGGAACCTCTAGGAGATACAAAGAGGAAGCTCTAAGAGATCTAACTGGGACGTACCATTGAATAATGTCACAGAGATACCAGGGCGCCAAACCATATAAAACCTTAAACACTTAAGTTCAATTATGAAGGGAACCTGGAGCCACTACAGGTGAGATATGCTCATATTTACATGAATTCATCAATAAATGAGCAGCAGCATTTTGAACCAACTGGAGATGTGAAAGAAGCAACTTACAGTGAATTACAGTAGAAGCCTAGAACTAACAAACGCATGGACTGCAACTTCAAAATCGTTAAATGAGAGAAACAGCTTCACTTTACTCAACAATCACAGTTGGAAAGAAATGGACTTGACAACAGTGTTAATCTGCTAATCAAACCTTAAGTCACTGTCAAACAACACCCCAAGATTTCTCACAACAGGTTTAGCATATGATGATAGAGGTCAGAGGTCAATGACCGAAGCACCTTAACAGTTATAACTTTATAACACAACAATTAGTCACCCAAAACTTTCTCTCTTTAACAGGGAAAAACACCATAGCACACAACCCTGTGACACAAACAATCTGTAATGTTTTACACAGGAAAACAGCCTGCTGGGTACAGTTTGCTACTAGCCAGGTAGTATAACAGCCTGCTAACAGCTGGGAGAGGCTCCGTTGCTACAGTAGATTAAAGAGAAATGGAGGATGAAGAATGTGTGACCAGAGATTGTGTCCAAAAGAGGAGCTGCAGTTTGGAAGTTTTTGGTTTAATATATTACAAAGCTTGTGGAGTCATGTTGCCACTGTTGGCAATGCTATCAAACTGCAAACTGCTATCCTAATATTATACCAACAGCACTGAAGCAGCTACACTCACTCACTTTCTTCAACAGACCTGTGCTCACAGTGGAGTCATACCTCAGAAACCACCAGAATCTTAAATAAAATCATGATACAAATGTTTGGTCATGCTGCCCAACACTAATAAACTGTGAACCACCTTCAGATTGACAGTTTCAGATTAGTAATTTTAGCATATATTCAAACACTGGAAGGTACTCACACCTACACTTCGTCCTTTTTGACCTCTAACTCATCAACAGAGCTGATCCCCCCCATAGACGAGAAGGGTGGAGAAGCTCATAGACAGATATATTTGTTTCCCAACCCTTCCACCGTCTCTGTGGGATGACCCTTCCCATCTACCCACCACTCCGTCTCCCCCTCCCTCACCCTCAACCTAATGGATCAAACAAAGGACATCATTTGTAGGCCAAGTCTTTTTCTGAGCGTCTCTCTCCTCAGCTCTGCATACCAATCCAATACAGCCCAAGGAAAAAAAGCCACACCATGGTACGTGTGTGTATAAGCTTATGTGTGTGTGTGTGTGTCTGTCACGGCCAGGGGTTGGAAGGTCTGTTTGCCTCTCTGCCAAGCATTGATTTATCCTTTTCTCCAATTTATTTCTCCTCCTTGCCTCTACAATCCATTCAGATCTGCCTCTAGGGGAGGAACTTGGGGTAAAGACATTGTCAAACCTCATCGCTGGCTCCAAACACAGGCTCAAAACTTATTTATAGTCCTAGGGACCATGAAACCCTGCAAGGACATGTCAGGCAGCAACATGTGCACATACAGAGCCACCTGTTGTCCAGGGGCACGCTCAGAAGGCCTGATGATTATGAGAGCGTAATGCTGAGTCTGAAAGAGAATTATAATTGTTTCAGTTCAAACACTGAGCTGAAAGATGATTAAGTAGACCACAAAACATGCTTTGATTTCAAAAGAGAGTTAAACCTTAGTCTTTCTTCTGCAGTAACAACTGTTAGAGAAGCAAGAATGATATTTAATTGTTCCTCATAATCAGGCCTAGACTCTGTGCACGAGCAGATATGATCAGAATAACAATATCTCAACTGTCTGATCCCTATCTCTGTCTGTATGATTCTGACACTTTGAGATGTTATCAAGGATTTGTATTCTAAAGCCCTGCCAGTGATGACAGTGTTCAGCAGAAATGCTGCATTTGCACAAATCCCTCTTTCTTACCCCTACACACACAGAGAAAGACAAAAACGGATACACATGAATGGCAGAGATCTGTGAGCCATTCTTCAGTGTCACTGTGAGCAACGCCTGGCACATCCTTACACCTGAAGTTGATCAATGCAGATATGTCCAGGGGGAAATTGAAATCCATAGGAAATTAGGCAGCACCAGTGATTTATTGGACCAGTAAATCACGGCATGTGTGTGATGTGTGAAACGTGTGTCTTCCAGCTCTGTATACAGTACTGTACCTTGTGTCTGGGTAGGATGGTGATATCAGCACTCCGCACCTTCCTGTCTCTTTCCATTTGGTAGACCCATTGAATCAGGTCCAGAGGGGGGTAACCGTCCCTGTGGTACACCCCCCTGTGAGGGACAGGGTGATGTGACCCCATAGACACAATGCTCCGCAGGGGTCCCTCTGAAGAAAAAACAAGGAAGGCATACAAGTACTGTGAAAGTGTTGTTTGGTACTGTGTGCCTCAGTAGTTAAGTTTCCATCCAAATGTCAAGTGCATTTTGTTTTTGCTAATGTTTAAAATGTTGCCAAGAAAAAAAAAGTGTCTTAGGTCTCTAAATGCATCAAGTGGACTGGAGTGAGTGAAAGGGAAAATGTAAATAAAAAAATGAACCAGGCCTTTAAGGGTCACTTTTGCTGACTTGAATTGAGATTGAATGTGTTTGCTAAGTTTTTACAGTACTTAACAATGCTAACAACAAAACAAAACAAAACAACAAGGCTTTGATGAAATTGAATCCTCTTTTTAATACTGTTTGAATGGTATTTTGTTTATCAGCAGCCCTTAAATGTATTTACATTCATATTTACATGTACTAAATGGATTTACATTCGTTAATTACATCTCCTATGTAGTAGCTTGTGTTGGTAGTGGTAGTCGTGGATCCTGCTATTTCCATGCAGGATTAAATCTGTCTTGACACACATGAGGACTGAGCTGTATTATGTTATAGTGTGTGAAGTTTTGTGACTTAACACACTGCTAGTGCAAATTAAACATTCATACAACTGCTAGTTCACAGTTGGAGTACTCAACTGGCAAAACACGGTGCTTTTTGTGTGTGCGAAGCCGTCACCAGAAATGTGTAAAAACCAAAACAAATATGCGAACTTGGTAGTTTTATGACATACTATGATACTATGGCCATTCGCTCATGATGCCAGTTTGTACACATGTATAACAGACAGCCAGGTCAATACTTCTACAAGGTTATGATGCGGGGACATCCCAGTCTCATTTTCAGCAAACACAATCAGCCATTTTACAGACAAATCCTACCAACCTTACATTAACAATCTGACAAATGGTTTCCAGTTCAATTTATTTTATTATATGTTTTTTTTTTTTAGAAAAATTAAAAACAATAGAAACATTTGCTGTATGGTAGAGCATTTTTTAATAATATATTATAAAACGGATTTTCCATTTTCATTTAGCCTTTCTAATTTGATACATTAAGAAGCTTATTTGAATCTGGACATGCAGCTATTCCCTGTTTGTGTTCATATAATGTAAAGTGTGTTAATGTGGGGTTGAATAAAAATCCTGTTTGCCATAAATCAAAGTCTTAATTTTTAAACATGCACCTTCAAGAGCAGCAAATGTCCTTATTTTATCAGTGTTTCCTCATTTATTAGTCTTCTGAATGAAATCGAATCATTTTAAGAGAACCATAAGAGAAGTGCACTACGAACAGAGGAGAGGAGAATCAAAAATATATAACCAACACTGAGTAGTTGTGTCAGTCTTTTAGTCTGCATTCATTTATGAATATTCAAATACATCTATGAGGATTTTCTTTGGAATAAAACAGAGATAGTGTGTAGTGTTAAGCAAAGAATCACCCCCCCCACACACACACACACAAACTCTCTCTCTTGTCTCTTCCCTTGCCCCCTTTTTTCTTTTTCTAGGTACAGTGCTCTCACTTGTTTTTGTTTGGCTTTAATTGTTTTTTTGTTGTTGTTTTTTTGTTTTCAAGAGAAGAAGAAAAGACAACAACAGGGTGGTGAGGGCTGCAGCTAATGGAGAGGCTGTAATTGTGAATGGAGGCATTCATCTGGAGACGTCGTCCATGAATTGTGCCTCACAATACCCAACGCCAGGCTGCTCAGATCAACAACTAGTCTCCAAGCACACACACACACACACACACACACACACGCACATACACAGATACACATTTACTTACATACATACACACAGCGAACCCTCAGATCACTGATGCTCAAAGGAGGAACGTAATCATATCACCACAAAGAGCAAGACACTGAAGAAGGGAAGAGAGAAGGTGGGGAGGAGCAGGAGGGGAGGAGGGGAAGAAGAGAGGAGAAGTGGAGACAGTGAAGGAGAGGGAGGAGGAGGAAGAGGAAGAGGAATGCTGAAACTAATGTTTCCTACCATTTGATTTGGGCTGTAGAGCCCAGGAGGCAGATCAGATGGAGCCACATGCACACACACATATACACTCCTAACAGACAAACAGGACAAATATATTCAAAGACAGACACACAGCATTTGTATACAAACTTTCATAATTGAAACAAACGCACAGAGAAAGTTGCATAGTTTCCTGCTCACACCAATTCAAAGCAAACTCATACATGAACACTTAGACAAATATACAGACACACAGACTATGCATGTGCATTTGCAAGTAAGCAAGAATATACATAGACACTCTGACAGACACGTAGCCACACAAACACAGACACATTTAAAACTATACAACTTCATATACATTATGTATTTAACAACATCGTAAACCTCATGTTTCCTGCTAA